AGCCTGCCCCGGCAGCAGCGCGGGGATGCTGTGCCCGAGGGGCCGGGCTGTGCCCAGGGCACTGCAGGCCCCTCCATGGCCGGTGTCTCCCTGCAGGCACTGCCTATGTGCTGACCTGTTACTTCACCAACTGGGCCCAGTACCGGCCTGGTGAGGGCAGATACACCCCTGAGAACATTGACCCCAACCTGTGCAGCCACCTGATCTACGCCTTTGCCGGCATGAACAACAACGAGATCACCACCTACGAGTGGAACGACGAGACCCTGTACAAGTCCTTCAACGGCCTCAAGAACCAGTGAGTGCCAGGAGCCTCGGGCAGGGCTGCTGCTCCCTCTGAGGCCGGCCAGGGCTGGGCAGGGGTACAGCCCCGTCCTCTGAGCTGGGGGACAGCGGCTCTGGGCGCTGCCCATGTGCCCTTGGCCTTTCCCACCAAAAGCGCCCGAGCTGCAAAGGCCACAGTGACACCAAACGCTTGAGGTCACTCTTGTTCTTGTCCCTTCCTTGCAGGAACAGCAACCTGAAGACTCTGCTGGCCATTGGAGGATGGAATTTCGGCACAGAGAAGTGAGTTCAAGTCAGCTCTCTCCAATAATGAGTCTCAGGAAAGGGAGGGAAAGGATGAAGGGAGTCGATTCCAACCCCAACCCTGTTTCGCTGCTTGCCCAGGTTCACCACCATGGTCTCCACACCCCAGAACCGCCAGACCTTCATCAACTCCGTGGTCAGGTTCCTGCGCCAGTACGGATTTGACGGGCTGGACCTGGACTGGGAATACCCCGGCTCCAGGGGCAGCCCCGCTCAGGACGGCTCTCTTCACCGTCCTGGTTAAGGTGGGCTTGGCTGTGGCCTGTGAGCCCTGGGTGGCTGCAAAGCCCCATCCCAGAGCCCCAGGTGATCGCTGTCCCTTGGATCCCTCAGGAACTGCTGGCAGCCTTCGAGCAGGAGGCCAGGCAGACCAACCGGCCCCGGCTCATGGTCACTGCTGCTGTGGCTGGAGGACTTTCCACCATCCAGGCTGGCTACGAGATTGCTGAGCTGGGCAAGTGAGTGGCAAGCCTGGGGTCCCTGGTGGCACTGGTGGGTTCCTTCTAGTGAAATCGCACAGAGCCCCTGAGGGAGCCCCGTGTGCCGGAGGAGTGGCTGTGGCCGGGGCTCTGGGGTGAGCGGGCAGCCTCAGCTCGGGTGCCTCAGGTGAGGACACAGCCCCCACTCCTGCAGGTACCTGGATTACATCCATGTGATGACCTATGACTTCCACGGGCCCTGGGACGGCTCTGCAGGCGAGAACAGCCCCCTGTTCAGCAGTGGCAGCACCCTCAGTGTTGTGAGTGCCTTTGGGGAGATTCTTTTCCCACAGCACATCCTGGCCTGTGCCTGAACCGTGCTGGCTTTTCCAGGAATATGCCATGAACTACTGGAAGAACAACGGTGCCCCAGCTCAGAAGCTCCTGGTGGGATTCCCAACCTACGGGAAAACCTTCACCCTGCAGAACCCATCCAACACCGCCATCGGAGCCCCAACCTCCGGGCCAGGCCCCGCTGGGCCCTACACCAGGGAGGCCGGGCTCTTGGCTTACTACGAGGTGTGTGTGGGACTCGTCCCTGGCACTGCAAGGGCAGCCTGGACACTGCTGGATATTTCCAGAGCAGAATTCCTAACCTGGCTCACATTCCTTTTTCCCAGATCTGCACCTTCCTGAGCTCTGGAGCCACCCAGGCTTGGGATGCCCCTGAGGATGTTCCCTACGCCTACAAGGGCAGCGAATGGGTCGGCTACGACAACGTCAAGAGCTTCGGCCTCAAGGTCTGGGGCAGCGGGGCCGTGCTGGGACGAGGCTGGAATCTCCTGTGGGATCAGTTCCTGGGGCTCACCGGGATTTTCCTCCCCACAGGTGGACTGGCTGAAGCAGAACAACTTCGGAGGTGCCATGGTGTGGACAATCGACCTGGATGACTTCACTGGCACCTTCTGCCATGAGGGCAAATACCCCCTGATCTCCAGCCTGAAGAAGGGGCTGGGGCTGTGAATGTGCCGTGAGTAATGCAGGGAGGGACACGGGGTTTGTGCCCCAAAGGCTGCAGTGCTGAGAACGCCGTGGGGCCATGGAAGGGGGGCAGGGAGGAGGCGGTGTTACATCTTCCCTTCCCCAAGGAAAATCCTGCTTTCTTTTCAGGCTGCAAGAGCTCTGCACGGCGCAGTCCTCACGTCCCTGCAGCTGCTGGAGGTGCAGGTGGCAGTGGGAGTGCAGGAGGAGCTGCAGTGCCGATGGTGGGGACTGGCCATGGAGATCCCGATCCCGTTCCAGCCCAGTGATCCCTCTGTTCCCACAATGAGAATGATTAAATAAAGCTTTGCGCAAAACCCACCACTTCCTGCTTCAACTCTTTTTGTCCTTTATATTTTGTTGCTTCCTGATTCTCTCAGGATGTTGACACTTTTGCTCGGGGAAGGGTTTGGACTTCATCCCAGCCAGGGATTTTTTCCTGCCGTGCCCTGGCAGCCACTTGGAAACCAAAAGAGGAACTGTTGTCCCATCTCCAGGGAACTGTTGCCACACCTCCAAGGAACTGTTGCCACATCTCCAGGGAACTGCTGTCACATCCTCAAGTCTACGACATCACAACCTCAGGCTGCTCCCCGAGGCCAGCCCAGCACGTTCCACAGGGAAATGCCAAATCCTCGGCTTTTCCCAGCCCCCTGCCCGTGCTTCCATCCCCCTGCTCCGTGGCTGTAGCAACTGAGCACGCAGTTCCCATCCCAGGAAGCTCTGGCAGGGCAGGATGGCAGCGGGGCACAACCCAAAAGGTGAGAGCTGGCTGAGGTGGGGGCACCCAGGGGGGCTGTGTTTCCTTCTCCTTCACCTCCTCAGCAGCATCAGCTTCCCCAGCAATCTCAGATCCCAATTCCCTGCTCGGGCTGGGGAAAATCAGCCCTTTGTGGCTTTGGGCAGGCAGAGCCCTCCCAAATATCCAGGGCTGAGGGAGGTTCCCACCTGGGAGATGAATGCAGAGAGCAGCGCATGGTCACTCTTTTCTCTCTTTTCTGTCTTTCTTTCTCGTTTATCCCACCGATGGCATTTCCCTGTGCCTGTCCCCCAGCTGTGGACAAGCACATCTCCTTTGGGACAACCCAAGACCGGAAAATGTTCCCCTACTACTATGCCCCAGACAGGCTGGGAATCGAGATGCCAGGGATGCGGGGAAGCCCTTTCCTGGGGCCAGGCTGTTACCTGGGGCCAGAGGTGAGCTGTTCTTTCATCTCGGGGCTCCTTTAGAGAAAGGCACAGGAGTGATAGGGCCACACCTGCCCTGCAAACCCACTGCAGGATGTCCCACATCCACCTGGAAAAAGGAATTATCTCCTTTCCCACCCGAGGCTCTGCAATAGTGAGGAATTAAGGGAATTATTAGGAATAACATTTGCTGCTCAGATAATCCTGCCCAGCAAACGGGGGCCTTAAAAATGTCAATAAATCGTTTTGGCTTTCAAACTCCAGTCAAACATCCTCAAATCTTCCATAAGCACCCGACCCATGAGCAGCAGGGGGTACGTGATGGGAGCCAGGACAGCCCCGCGCTTCCAGTGGAAGACTCAGGTAAGGAGAGGACCAAAAAAGCGGGGAAAAGCAGCCAAAATATTCCCCCAGCAAGGCAGTGACGCCCACCTGGCTGCTGCTCTGAGAATGTGGGAATTTTTGGCATGAAATGCTCCATCCTGAGGGGTTTTTGTCCCTGCAGACGGTGACGCCTGGCCCTGCTGCGTACCAACCCTTCCTGGGGGAAGAGAGGAGGTGCCAGCCTGCCCAGTTCCCTGTAAAGCTTCTGACCTCCAAAAATAAGTTTTTTATCTCCAAAAAGAAGCTCTTTATCTCCAAAAAGCTCACCCTGCTTTAGGCTTTAGCTTAGAACAATGACTGAGACACCACAGCATGGAATTCCCATGGATCTTTCCCTGCTGGAAACAAAAACTGCTTCAAAGGCCGAGGTTCTCGATGCTGTCTCACATCTTCCTTTTCTGAGGCATTATTGTTGCTATTAAGGAATAATTGCATTTTCGATGACCACAGAGATAAATTCTGGAATCACACACTCCAAAACCAGCTGCAAAAATTGAGATATCTGCTGCCTGTTTCCTTCAGGCCTGGAAATTACAACATAGATCAGCCTATAGGCAGAAAAGTCACTTGGCCGATGAAGTTTGGGGCTCCAGATTGGGCTGCAGTGCCAGCACTACCCCGGAGGATGGTGAAGATTCAGGTCCAGAAGGTAAGGATGGGGATGAGGGGATGTTATTCCTGCCTCAAAGCATCTGAGACAGGAAATTTCCTTTTCACTTCATATTTTCATTGTTTTGTTTTCCTTTCCTGCCTCAGTGCTTCTGAGAGAAATAAATTTCTTTTTTATTTCCCATTTTCACTGTTCTGTTGTCCTCTGGTGCTCCTGGGAGAGGAAATTTCCTTTTTCCTTCACATTTTCCATGATTTTTTGGTATCTTTCCCTGCTCTGGGCATGATATACAAAGTGATTTTCTCTCAGAAAATGCCTGTTTGTAAAACCCTTCAAACCCTTTATTCAGAAATTTCCTCTGGAATTTTCCACCCCCAAAGGGAGCAAAGTGGGGCCTCCACTGTCTCATGTGGCTCTGCTGGAAAGAAAATCTCATTTAAAGCACAGATTTAGGTCTCACCCCTTCATTTTCTGGAGCATTTTCGTTGTTATTAATGAAAATTTGGGGGTTTTTTTTTTAGATGACTGTGGATAAAAATTTCCGGAAAAATCAGGGCAGAGAGGCCTACCTGAAGTTGTACCAGAGCTGAAGAGCCACAACCTCCTTCATCTGGAGACACCTGTACCACCAGGTTTAATAAATCAAATATTTTAAATGTTTTAAATGCATTCTGCTCAGCTGTAGTAAAAACAGCTCAATATTCTCAACCCCATGCTCAGTACAAGTACAAAACCAGCCCCATTCCAGGCACTTCAGAAGAAAGTTAACTCTAGGATTTGTTTTAAAGTAGTTTGAAGATGTTTTGAACTATTTTAATGTATTTTAAGTGTATTGAAGATATTATGTATTTAATGTATTGAAATAAATGTATTGAAGATGAAATATAAACTAATGAACTGAAATAAAATCAGAATTAAAGTACAATAAGTTGAAAAAATCCTAATAAACTAATAAAATAAAGTAATATCCAAATAAAATCTTTTCAAACCCAGGCATTTCCTTCCCAGAGTTTGGAGTAGGGCTGTGTTTTGGATTTGTGCTGAACTCAAGGTTAATAATATTGGGATATTTTGGTTAATATTGGGATATTTTGATTAACATTGGAATATTTTGGTTTACATTGGGATATTTTGGTTAACATTGGGATATTTTGGTTAACACTGGGATATTTTTTTGGTCGTTGCTGGTCAGGGCTTGCACAGAGCTGAGGCCTTTCTTGCCTTTCCTGGGGGAGAAGTTGGGAAGTTGTGAGGGACACACAAACAGACACAAAAGATATTCCAGATCATGGTTGGGGTATAAAATGAGGGGGAAAGGGAGGAATTGGGTGATATTTGGACAAGTCACAGGTTCCGCTCCATGATTTTCCAGTCATTTCGTGATGAATTCCATGCTGAAGGCCTTGGATGAGGCCTTGCTCTCCTGGAGGCGCCTGCCTGTGGAAAGCAGGGATTAAACTCTTTGTTTTCCTTTGCTTTCCCTATTAAATCATCTCAACCCATGAATTTTCCAGCTTTTCACCTCACAAATCTCTCCCAAATCCTGCTGGGAAAAAAAATAAAAATAAAAATCGAACTTCTTCTTCATCCCACAGGAAAACAAATCTCTCCATGATCCCTTTGGATGGGGAGCGAGCGCCTGAGGGGCTTGAAAACCACAACCCCAGCTCCCCACTCAACTCATCCCCCTTTTTCCATGGATTTCCTCACTTTTCCCTCAAAATCCAGCCCTTCCTGAGGCAGGCAAGGAGCCAAACAGGCACAGCCAAAGGGCAGCTCCTCCATTTCCCCAGCGCCGGGAATGAGCGTTCCCATTTTCCCCTCAGCTTTTCCTGGTGCTCGCCCCCCGTTTTCCCCTCACATCCAGGCCAGCCCAGGGGGTTCCTCCACAAACCTGAGGAAAAAGGAGGAATATTGAGGTGGTTTTTGTACCCTCAGAGAGTTTTTAATGTCTTTGTGCCCAAAATAACAGCCTGAGGGGAAGGCCTGTCCCAGCCAGGCCTCACCAGGTGCATTTTTGCATTTTGGCTCTTTCCCCGCTGAAACAAAAATATTCTCAATTGCAGAACAACAACAATAAAGTACTTGAAGTGAGAATCTGGCCACAAAAATAACCGTGGCCTGAAACAGAAAGTTCCTGCTGTTGTGGCAGCTGTTTCCCCCTCAGACCTTTGATTTCTGTGTTTCCAAACCCTCCCACACATGGATGTGTCTGATCCCAATCCCAGAGAGAGCTTGGAGAGACAAAATCCCTCTGGCTGTCATTCCAGACCTGCAGCCCAGTTTTAGCCATAAAACTAATTTAATAAAACAAAATTTATTTGTCCAATTTCAATTTTCAGGAGCTCTCCCAGCTGCTCCCAGCATGACTTTTTGTGTCACAACTGTCCCTTTTTGGTCCAAGGTTTTGAAGCAAGATTTGGCTCCTTGGAATTTTTCTTGTCCTAAAAATTGGAGTTTTTATGCTGTTTAAAGCTTTATTTTTGTATTCCTGGCTGATACTGTGGTTCACCTCCACCTAATTCTTTCTAACCAGAAAAAAAAGTGATGTGTGAGGCATTTTCCCACTCCTGAAACGTGAAGGACTCTGTTTTGCTCATAGGAGATAAAATTTCTTTTATTATGAACATAAAAACTACAATTTTCATTCCACTTTATTTTTTTTTTCCCCTACCCAGCAAGGGATTTTTCTCCTTGCAAAAAGAAAAAAAAAAAAGTTAAAAAAAGATAAAACTTTTTGGATATATACAAACATATACAGGGTGTGTCTGTACATTTGTCATTCTGTACAAGCAAGGCACCAGCAGAAGTGACAGTGGCACACACAGAGGGGGTTTTTTGAGATTTAATTTCAGATTTTTTTGGCAGGAGATCATTGAAAAAAAAAATAACTTGTTTTTATTTTCATCCTCCCTGGGTGATGGGGGGGAGAGGGAGGATTCTTTTAACTGCATGGAGGTGAACTTGGAATTCTTGGGAGATTGGATCAAACCACAGGAGCCTTTTCTCTTGGATAATAACCCAGATTTTGGGTAAGAAAACGCTGAAGGAAGATGAAAGCACAGCCCTCCAGAACCAGCCAATAATGACAACTCTGGCATAAAAATAAAGGGAATAAAGGGGTGAAATAAAGCAGGGAAAA